ATTACTTATTTGGTTCACAGATATCTTCCTCCCCGTGATCTTACTTCGCCATCATGGGTGTGATATGGGGGGGGGGGGACAAAACAAAACAAAGCATGCAGTTGCAGTTGGACTCTTTAGTACCAGGGTGCTGGAGAGCCATTTGAAATCGAAAAAAGGTCAGTAGGTGCAGAAGTTGAACACTAGGTGGCGCGTCATCACCCAGACCTGCCAAGGATAGGAATGCTGCTTACTCACTCAATCTTAGTGATCCTTTGGATCTTGCGAATGCTGTGTGTGTGGATATTTCAAAGAAATGAAGTATCGGAGTGGGGTGGGTGATCACTATGCCCTGGGGAGTTATGTTTGGGCTCCCCCTCCCCCTGGCAGAACCTCACAAAAAATTCAATTCAAACATGACTATCAATCTACTGCGAGGCGGCGGAACAGGGGAAAAAGCACCAAACGGGGTTACCTATCCATCTCCCTCTCCCCGTTTCAAGGTAGAGCATCACAGAAATCTCGATTCGTACACCATCATCCATCCATCCTGAGGCAGAACATCAGAAAAATCACCAAACATGATTACTTATTTCTTTATTGCAAGGCAGAGCATCAGAAAAAATCTAAAATTCCTACATCATTATCTAACTCTTCATTCATTCACTCAATCATTCATTCATTCCTTCATTCACTGAGAGGCAGAAATCTCAGTTCAAACACGATTATCTATCATATTGATTGATCAATCGATCTATCAATCTAGAACATCAGGAAAATCATGAATCAAAAGCAATGATTGATTTGTTCATTGTGAGGCAGAGTACCAGAAACGCCATGATTCAAACATGATTATTTCAGGGGCGGTGCTGGGGCTTAGTAGGCTGAGCCTTTCCCTGAGGCACAAGCAGGCAGGCATCTCTTATGGGCGTGCTTTTGCCCCTGCACACACGTGGGAGATGCGGAACAAGCTCCTGCCTTCTGGCTTCAGAGCAGAGCGACCCAGCCATTTGGGGAGTGGAGTGAGCCGGCAGATGGAAGACCTTCCTTTCTCTCTGTAACTCTGCCACAATAAATGAAAATCATGTCTCTTTCACAGATTTACATTTGCACTCGGGCGATATGGTACTGTATTCCCATCCCCCCCCCCCCCCCACACACTAGCAGGGAGCTGGATTTCATGGAGCGCAGCCAGGACTCAAACCGCTGCTTTCTCCAAAGGGATGCCTATGTCAGGGGTGGGTGGTGTGTGAATCCACAGCACGACGATGACTATTTTTTTTTTTTCTTAATCAAGGTTGGTATTACAGACAGACATCCTCCTTATAATCCTAATTTGCAATCATCCATGCCACACTGGGGGGGGGCGGGGGCGGGGCGCGGAAGGTGGGAGAAGTCATTTGAACTCAAAATGGAGTCTTTAGTGCCAGAGTATCAAGAGCCATTTTGAATCAAAAAGGAAGGTCAATAGGTGCAGAAATTGAACACTGGGTGGCGGGTCAGCACCCAGGTCTACCGTGGGGGAAGAGAGCTGCTTGCTCACTCAGTCGTAGTGATCTTTGGAAATCTGAAAAATGCTATGGGGGAAAAATATCGGAGTGAGGCAGTTGTGTGTGGGGGGGTGTCATTATGTCCTGGTGAGTTACGTTTGGGATGCCTGCCACTTTGAGTTCTGCTTGGCGGCTCTGCTTAACATACAGCTTCCCATGAATAGATCCTTGGAGAACCTTTTCCTTATATGAAGGGAGACAGATGACATAGATAGGAGAGCCAGGAGCCAGTGGATGAAAAATCTCCCTCCCTCCCAACATGGTTATCTATCTATCTATCTATCTATCTATCATGTATCTATCTAGAACATCCGAAAAAAATCACGATTCACAAATGAATATTGAGGCTGGCGCCGCGGCTCACTAAGCTAATCCTCCGCCTAGTGGCGCCGGCACACCGGGTTCTAGTCCCGGTTGGGATGCCGGATTCTGTCCCGGTTGCCCCTCTTCCAGGCCAGCTCTCTGCTGTGGCCAGGGAGTGCAGTGGAGGATGGCCCAAGTCCTTGGGCCCTGCACCCCACGGGAGACCAGGAGAAGCACCTGGCTCCTGCCTTTGGATCAGCACGGTGCGCTGGCCGCGGTGGCCATTGGAGGGTGAACCAACGGCAAAGGAAGACCTCTCTCTCTCTCTCTCTCTCTCACTGTCCACTCTGCCTGTCAAAAAATAAATAAAAATTTTAAAAGAATATTGATTTATCTGGAGGCAGAGCATCAAAAAGTACCCTTCCTTCCTTCCAAGGCAGAGTACCAGAAAAATCATGCATTTGGACTCAAAATGGAATCTTTAGTACCAGGAGAGCGAGAGCCATTTTGAATCTAAAAGGAAGGTCACTAGGTGCAGAAATTGAACACTAGGTGTTCTAAATCAATCAAGCCATCTTAAGAAATAAGTGCCCCACAGTAGCTGGGACTGGACCAGATCAAGACATCTTAGCAAGAAGGAGGAAGAGCCCACACTCCGATATAAGATGCTGATGTTCCAAATGGGGGTTTTTTTTTTTTTTTTTTTGGCAGGCAGAGTGGATAGAGAGAGAGAGAGAGAGAGACAGAGAGAAAGGTCTTCCTTTGCCGTTGGTTCACCCTCCAATGGCCGCCACGGCCAGCGCGCTGCGGCTGGCGCACTGCGCTGATCCGATGGCAGGAGCCAGGTGCTTCTCCTGGTCTCCCGTGGGGTGCAGGGCCCAAGCACTTGGGCCATCCTCCACTGCACTCCCTGGCCACAGCAGAGAGCTGGCCTGGAAGAGGGGCAACCGGGACAGAATCTGGCGCCCTGACCGGGACTAGAACCCGGTGTGCCGGCGCCGCAAGGCGGAGGATTAGCCTAGTGAGCCGCGGCGCCGGCTTTTTTTTTTTTTTTTTTTTTCTCTTTAAAGAGCTTCTCCAGGGAACCTGTCTTCAGGAATTTTTCTTTCATAAGATCTATTTATTAGAAAGGAAGAAAGGTTGATTTTTTTTTATTTACATATTGGAATGAGTTATAGAGAGGCAGAGACAGAGACAGAGTCTTCCATCCCCTGGTTCACCTCCAGATGGCTGCTATGGCTGGAGCTATGCTGATCCAAAGCCAGGAGCCAGGAGCTTCTTCCAGGTCACCCACATGGGTGCAGGGGCCCAAGGACTTGGGCCATCTTCTGCTGCTTTCCCAGGCCATAGCAGAGAGCTGGATTGGCCCCAATACAGTGCAATCTTCATTTTTTTTTTAATTTAAAAGATTTATTTATTTGGGGCTGGTGCTGCAGTGCAGCGGGTTAACACCCTGGCCTGAAGCACCAGCATCCCATAGGAGTGCCATCAGACAGAAGACCTCTCTCTGCCTCTCCTCTCTCTGTGTGACTCTGACTTTCAAGTAAATAAATAAATCTTTAAGAAAATTGATTTATTTATTTATTCACTTGAAAGAGTTACACACACAGAGAGAGAGGAGAGGCAGAGAAAGTGAGAGAGGTCTTTTGTCTGATGGTTCACTCCCCAATGGGCTGCAATGGCTGGAACTGTGCTGATCTGAAGCCAGGAGCCAGGAGCTTCTTCTGGGTCTCCCACAGGGGGTATAGAGGCTCAAGGGCTTGGGCCATCTTCCACTGCTTTCCCAGGCCATAGCAGAGAGCTGGATTGGAAGAGGAGCAGCCGGGACTCAAACTGGCGCACATATGGGATGCTGGCGCTTCGGGCCAAGGCGTTAACCTGCTGCACCGCAGCGCCGGCCCCCAGTGCAATCTTTCTTTAAAAAAAAAAAAAATCTTAAGGGAACTCGGCTCAGCTGTGACTCCGTGATCTGCTAATATGAGATCTATTTCCAGTCTCTCCTCCTCCATTTCCAATCCAGCTCCTTGTTAATTCACCTGGAAAGCCACGGGAAGATTGACCCACTACTTGGACCAGCTGGGAGATGTGGAACAGATGA